CAGAAACATGGTGCGTGTCTATCGTGTATTTATGTATCTGTGGTGTTTGATAATGATTATGAGTTTACTTGATTTTTGACACGGTGATACTGTAGAGTGCGATTAGAGGTGGGGTTCTTGCTACTATGAAGTCTGTTGGAGGATACCATACGCTTATCACTATGCCTCAAACCAAACTTATTTTCCAGGGTAGGCCATTCAGAAATTTTAAAGTTGGGAAGAATGTAAAAACAAATATTTCTTGAGAAGGTCCAAAGGTAAAACTCTTTAAATAGCGCAAATTGCAGCCTTTTTTTCGAAAAATGCCCCAGATAATGCGATCCTGCCTTATTTGGTCCCTCCTTTTCCAGTTATGTTTCAAATCCTTCCTCCATCAAACTCAAGGAAAGAATCTTTAAAAAACACATGTCAAAGTTTACATACTTTTGAGAATCCCGATCAATTTAACTTATCAATTTGAAGATGCAATTCTTCACTCGCGAAATAAAGCGTGCACGTTTGTGCTCGATGAGCCAAATGTGTGCGACAGGCATAAAATATCGAAAAATACGCTTTGATCAAGTCAGAAAAGATAGACATGCCGAGGAAAGTAAGTTACAAAGCGGATACACGCTGTACAGCGCAGCGGACTCCCGATCGAATGGAACTCCTTCAAACAGGCGGGTATGCAATATGGCTGCAGTTATGCTCGAATAGTCGCATCATTTAAAGCATACGGTCGATGAAGGCGCAGATCACGCTTATTCTCGATTTCTCCTTTTCTAAGTTACTTCATGGTTGAGATATAGTATGTTCGACCGGTCTAATGCAATTTATTAATGTCTGAACGTATCTGAAAGTTAAAGCGTCTGGTTAAAAAAAGGCATTTCTTGCTCGTGGTGTCTTGGGATCTCCGTTTACATTTTATCCATTGAGATTAAATCAAATGCATGTAACTCGTTAAAACTTTTCCTGAATTTTCTTTACGATTTTATGATGCTGAAAACTAAAAATGTCAGGAATTCGTCAGACAGTTTCCTCTCTAAAATATAAATTAGCGATGGAAAAACCTAAACACTGCTACGTTAATGGGATATTACAAAGTTGAAGAGCTTGTACTGTTAAATTGGTCGGTTATTGCAAATTATGGTCGGTAATTATGTCGGTATTGTGGTTGATTGACCCGTAAGCGTAGTTTTTACAATCATAACAAGTAGCACTACAAGCACTGAAAATTTGTAGTGCCAGATTTGAAATTTTCGGATTTTAATATCTTCGTTAGCCGTTAATTTTGATCATTTTCGTTTGGCGAATCATGTTTTAAGTGGAATTTAGGTTAAGAAACAAGTACCAGCGAGCTGATAGTTTAAAACGGTAGACAAAGTTGTAGAAAAAGAAGATGAGAGGGCAGCTGAGCTATGGAAAAGGGTGCGGTTGCAATAGACAAAATAGGTAAGGAATAGACTAACTAACGGAAACCAATGAGGCACCCTTTTGTTAGTCGATCATTTTCCCTCTTAATCTATAGTAACCAGCCGTTTAAACCAATAGAATCGCTCCACACTCTCTCTGTCTCCTTTGTCTATAGCTCTGTCTATCAATTTCAATGATCAGCCAGATGAATGCTTTGAATCGTATATCTTGTTTATTGGTCCATCCCACCACTCGAACATCGCGACTTCTCCGGCGGGCGACGTTAGCTGCCGTGCTAAGGAAAAACGCCTTATGAACCCTCAGGCGTTGCCAAATTTCCTCTGATATAATACGAATGTATTGGGGGAAGTTTTAAATATTTTTTTTTTTCAAATTTTCAGACTATTTTGTTCACAATTTAATCTAAAATGTCTAGAAATTTCGAAGAGAAATATGCATAGATTTCGTCAAAAACACATCTTTCATCCGAGGAACTTTGCACTGGAAAAAATAAACACATTGGTTCTAGAGTCCAGACTCTTGAAAACATTGACAAGAAAAAATCGTCACCTTCCAGGCAAAGTATCACAAGCGCCATGCGACGTTTAAAAATTTCCGCCGCCATTATATTTTTTTACAGAGAAATTGTTCAACGAAGCTGTCCGAAAATTTCACTGAATTTTCTTTATGCTGCCGATAAAATTTAGTGAAATTTCCAAACAGATTCAACCAACACTTTCTCAGTAAAGAAATAAAATGGCGGCGGAAATTTTTAAACGTCGCATGGCGCTTGTGATTTTGCCTGGAAGGTGACGAAATACTCTTGATTCAATCAGATTTTTGCTTCAATCAAAAGGAAATCCGCTCAAATTAAGAGGCTTGGTTCTCGATTAAACAAAAATCCGATTGAATCAAGAGAATTTTTCTTGTCGATGTTTTTAAGAGTCTGGACTCTAGATCCAATGTGTTTTTTTCTCCAGTGTGGCAACTCTCGAATGCTCATACGACGTTCTTCCTTAGCACGGCAGTTAGGACGTATCTGGAATCCACGTGAACCCTAAGTTCCGTATAACTGTATGTTTTCTAGAACTCATAAGAAAATAGAGCAGTCGCGTGGCGTGAATGATCGATTGTCGATATTTCTCTATTTGAAGCTATGGAAAGAATCGATTATTAAGGTGTTCGCTGCGAATACCAGCTGTTTATCGATCCTTTTCCATAGGTTTAAATGAAAGATCCATCGATATATCGCAAAGCACGCCACGCCACTGAAATAGAGATACGCCTTCGCGTCAGAGGAGTGATGACATGACCTTCGGCGAGACGTTTAACCGTCTATGTAAGCTCTCCAACACATCGCGGAAGAGAAGGGTGAACAATTTACACAGCGAATAACTCAAGAGTGAAGAGCGAAAACGACGTTGCCGCGGAAAGATGCACTTTCCAGAAACTTTAATTGAAAATTGGAACGATTCTCGTCCTATCTGAGAGCCACGAGGAAGAAATCGGCTGAGCGTGCAAAAAATGCACCCACGGTTGCAACGCTCCGCAGATCTCACCTGCATCGCGTGGATTGCACATGGAGCCCCGATGCTCCAAACAGTGATCTGACAGTCGTTACATCGAGATTGCCACTTCGTGCAATTCCTCCGTGCACTCTTCCACGTTGCTATAATGCAATTCCGCTGATTTTTAATGGATATTTGGCAACAGCGGTGCGGTGAGCACTGCCAAAACTGCAGCGCCAAATCCCGCCGACTGCACTGCCGTGCTAAGGAAAAACGCCGTATGAACATTCGAGAGTTGCCAAATTTCCCTCGATAAAATGTTAATTATAGCGGAAGGTTATGAATATTTTTCCTTGAAATTTTCAGGAACTTCAGGTAACATTTCGAACAAAATCATCTGAAAAGTTGGAAGGAAAATATTCATAAGTTAACCTGGAAATTAGTGTTTTATCAAGGGAAATTTGGCAACGTCTGAAGGCTCATACAGCGTTCTTCCTTGGCACGGCAGTGCAGTTGCCAATTAGATCATTTTTATTCCGCTGCCATTTGATGGGTACACGTTTTAATGACCAATTGAGACCTTTCGTCAATTGCGTCTGAGAGTTTTGCGCGGGGTTCCTGCATCGGACATCTCGGATGAGAGCTCGAATAATGAGGGATTGGATTGTGATGCTTTTTAAAGAAATGCGTACATCGAATTATACTAAATTTGATGTGGGTTTGCTCACTTCCGCATTGCGTGTGATGTAAAAAATTAATTATTCCACTAACTACTAAACTTGAAGACCGTTTACCCCCGTACTTATCCTTAGAAATCTATTGTTTTTTGTATAATAAACATGGTCCCTAGTCGAGGCGACATAGTTCGATCCAAATTGCAATACATTTTTACTTTCTCGCTCCCCTCGCGGGTAGAGGAAGTATTGTCCGAGAAAAGAAAAAAAAAGAAGTTGAAATTTCATAATTTCTAAGCTTTTCTAGGTCCCTGGAGTCAAAATAACCATACTTAAAAAAATGTGTGTCCATCCGTCAGTCGTTCCCCAAAACTAAGTACAGCCATAGCTGATAATCTATGGGTTCAATTTTATTCAAAATTTGCATGGAATACCGTATCCGGTCTCCTTATGCACGTCAAACTATTTTGGGGTTCGCTAAAATCGAGGGGAGGGGAGCTAGGGATTAATGATTCTTAGCAAAATCACATGGAAAGCTCACTTTTTTTTTTAAAATGGTGCCTGACCAACTCACCGATGAAATAAGTCTGAGATGAAAGATAATATCAGAGTTGAACCTTTAATTGTTACTTTCCGAAAGTTTCTCATTTCAGATTTACAGCTGTCAGCGAACTGATTATAAAATCGTTGGACAAAGCGATAGTAAAAGACGACGGGAAAATGAAGCGATCTTACTTGTTTAATTAGGCGGTTCCTCTAAACTAAGGGGGAAAATGATGGATAACTTTGGGATCTCTCGTGGGTCGTCGTTAGTTACCATAAACCTCCTTTGTCCATTGCAGTCACCCGCTTCCATTGACGGGATTGCTCGTCGTCTGTTTTGTCTATTGCTATGTCTATCAAAATCAATAATCGGCCCGCAGTTGACAATGAGGTGCCGTTCATGAAATACGTAACGCTGAATTTCGGATTTTTCGACCTCCCCCTCCCCCTCGTGACGCTTTAGTGACGTAGGTCCCTACCCTTTAACACATCGAAAACAAATTGAGCTTGATTTAACAGTCATAAAAATGCTAAATTACCCGCCACAGAAGTTAGTTTTACATCTTAACATTGCTAAAGTAACTGCTGCATTGGGTCTCTTAGCATTTTATAAATTCTCGCTTCCTTTTTTTATATGTAGAATATGAATTCAACCTTACTTTTTTTCTGTGCACTCACTACAAAATGGCGCAATTCTCTCATCAACCCCCCTCCCCTTTATCTTTAGAGCTAACAATAAGTATTTTATAAACGACCCCTAATTTGGTAAACGCCTCATTCAAAAAAAAAAACAAAAAAAAAAGTTGTCGTCGAGATCCAATTAATGACGTCAATTGGATAGCATCCCTGCGCCCATACCAATGAGAATATGAAATGAACTCACCAGGTGATGGCAGTGGGGTCACCGCCCCTATCGGCAAATTTGCACACTAAAGTGACGTCATCATTCTCGAAAACCTGGACTGTCCGGGTCTCGGAGTGTGCGAGTAACGGCGGCTCGTCATCCTCTGTTTTAGATTCCTCGACCGTGACCGTGTTATCTGAGACAAATCACATTCATATGCATTAGACGCTTCCTAGCTAATTGACAGAAATTCACGGTGTCATAGAGAGGAGTGCCATCCTCTGCTGGTTTGATATACGTAGAATATTTGCGTCGGACGAATTTCCGCAGAAACCGGAGATGCAGACTTTTATAAAATGAAAGTTTACCATAAAATTTTGTGAATTTTTATTTAAAAATTTTGTAGATAGGACGATCCAGGGTTAACCGGCGAGACTGCAGGAGCGTGTTTTATGGGTCAAAATAAGACTTTTTTGTTGCGCAAAGGTTTTTTCCAAAAGCGCTCCCAGTCGGAGCTACGCCCTTCCATAGTTACAAAAATTAAATAGTTTTTCCTGTATTTTTCGCAACGATTGTGAACCAAGTCTCATGAAAATTTTATCTCCCCAGTATTTCTATGCCCTGAATCCATAAATCTAAAAAAGAAAATCGAAACCTCTATTTAAGAAGGTGGTTTGGGGGTATTACGGCTCCTGCAGTCTAGCCGTTTAACCCTGGATCACCCTGTAGAAAAAGTTCTGAAATTCCGTGGAAGGATTTAGTATGTCTAAAAGATTTCTGAAATGAAAATCTCTGACTTTTCCAGGTGGTACTGGACAAAAAACGACAATATTCCCTAACTTTTCGGAGCACAACGTGGAAATACAGCGAGCAAACGGACAAGCGTTGATAACGGCGCAGAGATACAACTATTCGTACTTGATGGATGTCCGTGTTGCATCTGCAAAATTGAAGGCGCGATGGTGCCGGGCGTGAACTCATAATGCTCCGAAGTTTCCCGTGAAGTGTTACTCAGATTGGGGGAAGAAGTTAAAAAACGATGCCCGAATATGTCTCTCCTAGTTCCGGCTGAGTTGAAATTCGATTTTTAATTCATTATTCTTCAATTTGACGTCTGATTCTTTTTTAGGATATATTTGTAGACCTAAATCTAAAATTCGTATGTGCCCCATTCAAACTCGCGCAACACACGATTCCAGCAAGCCTCGAGCCAGTTCCACCTGACTTAGGCATCTACGGGTTAAATTTACATAACATGAGATACTGTAAATGTGTTAAACTCGGACGTAAATTTTTTTGTATAACCAAGCACGGTGCCCCTGAACTCACTTTAAATGCGACTTTGTTGTACATCAAAAATTCAAGTTGGAGGTTGTAGTGGGGTCCTCCCTGATGGGTTTTTGGGCAATTTCGAAATAGGTTGTCGGAGCTCCTCGAAAAATAATCGCATTTTTGTGGTTTTTTAGGGGTAAAATAGCGAAATTGGCCTCGGGGCGACAAATTAAACCCCCTCTCCCTCATCCTTGCCTTGACCGATCTGAATTTTTAGTATGTTTTTACCTGGTATAAGATGGGACTTTTCTGAAATTTTCATGCCCATACAAATTTTTTTGCTCCCGCGGCAGCGTTGCCAAGTTGCGGACTCCAAAATATCGAATTTAATGATAAAATGAAGGTTTCGGAGTGTGATTTCCATTCAAAATCAAAAATTCAAATTGTAAGTTGTAGTAGGGTACTGCCTGATGGGGTTTTGGCCAATTTCGAAGTAGAGTGTTTGAGATTTTTGAAAAATAATCGAATTTTTGCGGTTTCTTAAGGGTAAAATAGCACACTGAGCACGGGGCGGCAACTTAAACCTTTTCTCTCTCATCCTTGCCGTGACCGATCTGAATTTTTAGTATGTATTAACTTGGTATAAGATGTGACTTTTCCGAAATTTTCATGCCCATACAAAATTTTTTGCCCCCCGCGGCAGCGTTGCCAAGTTGCGGACTCAAACATATCGAATTTGATGATAAAATGAAGGTTTCGAGGTGTGATTTCCTCCAAAATTTCACGAAAAGTGTGCAATCTGAGAGTTTTCGATAAGAAAAGGCATATTTGAACAATTTACAGTTGCAGTGTTGCCAGCTTTCGATTTAAAATTCGTCAAAATGACCCAAATCGCGTTGCAACCTCAAGCGCTGGATTTTTATTTCGTTCAGAATTGGTTATTACGGTTCTTCTGTACTCTATGCATTTAGGTACCATGAAAATTATGCCATTATTTACTTGATGGGTGCAGCTAACTCAAAAAGAGAGGCCGGATAAAGCGATGAGTCGGGAGAAAACGAGCGGTTCGGGTTGACAGAAAGTTCTTAAATCTACTCCATCTCCAGAAAGTAGAATTTGAGAGCTTTCTCCCACCCCCCAAACCTTATTCCTGTTGCAGTCAATCCTTTGAACATCTTATCTGAAATTTTGCCCCCGAATTTTTCCCAAAAACATGAAAAATAAAAACACAAATAAAATGGGTGGATAACAACGATTCAAATAACGCTATGAAGTCCCTGAATTCGACCTCCTCTCATACAGCGGATTGGATAGTTCGAATCCAGAAGACTTCTTACTGTAAAGAAAATACCTTCGACAATTTAAAGAATAAAAAAATTACAAAAGATCACAATAAATTTGAGTAATGTTGAAAATAAACTCCCTCATAAAAAAAAAAATAAACTAGATGACGAAATTAAAAATGCTTTGTAAATTTTTGGTTGTATAAGACATGTTAGACATTCCGAAAAATAAAATATTTCTGGACTGAATAAGGAAACATACCATTCTTGGCAAACTCTGTTGCATGAGATTCCAGATGATCAAGAGGCCTCTTGAATTTAGATGGACTCCATTAGGTTTGTTCCGATCATAAAAAGTCATAATTTCGTCATCTAGTTTATTTATTTTTCATGTTTTTGGGAAAAATTCGGGGGCAAAATTTCAGATAAGATGTTCAAAGGATTGACTGCAACAGGAATAAGGTTTGGGGGGTGGGAGAAAGCTCTCAAATTCTACTTTCTGGAGATGGAGTAGATTTAAGAACTTTCTGTCAACCCGAACCGCTCGTTTTCTCCCGACTCATCGCTTTATCCGGCCTCTCTTTTTGAGTTAGCTGCACCCATCAAGTAAATAATGGCATAATTTTCATGGTACCTAAATGCATAGAGTACAGAAGAACCGTAATAACCAATTCTGAACGAAATAAAAATCCAGCGCTTGAGGTTGCAACGCGATTTGGGTCATTTTGACGAATTTTAAATCGAAAGCTGGCAACACTGCAACTGTAAATTGTTCAAATATGCCTTTTCTTATCGAAAACTCTCAGATTGCACACTTTTCGTGAAATTTTGGAGGAAATCACACCTCGAAACCTTCATTTTATCATCAAATTCGATATGTTTGAGTCCGCAACTTGGCAACGCTGCCGCGGGGGGCAAAAAATTTTGTATGGGCATGAAAATTTCGGAAAAGTCACATCTTATACCAAGTTAATACATACTAAAAATTCAGATCGGTCACGGCAAGGATGAGAGAGAAAAGGTTTAAGTTGCCGCCCCGTGCTCAGTGTGCTATTTTACCCTTAAGAAACCGCAAAAATTCGATTATTTTTCAAAAATCTCAAACACTCTACTTCGAAATTGGCCAAAACCCCATCAGGCAGTACCCTACTACAACTTACAATTTGAATTTTTGATTTTGAATGGAAATCACACTCCGAAACCTTCATTTTATCATTAAATTCGATATTTTGGAGTCCGCAACTTGGCAACGCTGCCGCGGGAGCAAAAAAATTTGTATGGGCATGAAAATTTCAGAAAAGTCCCATCTTATACCAGGTAAAAACATACTAAAAATTCAGATCGGTCAAGGCAAGGATGAGGGAGAGGGGGTTTAATTTGTCGCCCCGAGGCCAATTTCGCTATTTTACCCCTAAAAAACCACAAAAATGCGATTATTTTTCGAGGAGCTCCGACAACCTATTTCGAAATTGCCCAAAAACCCATCAGGGAGGACCCCACTACAACCTCCAACTTGAATTTTTGATGTACAACAAAGTCGCATTTAAAGTGAGTTCAGGGGCACCGTGCAAGAGGAAATCCGAATCTCTTCTTGATTTCAGCTAAAATCTACTTGATTTGGGAACATTCTTTTTCTCTGCCATCACAGGTCACACACAAGTTACAGGCCGGCGGCGGGCGTAACTTAGAAATGCAAAATCACTCAAGCACACAAATGGTTTGAAGAGCAGATTTCACTATCAACCTCGCGAGCGCGATAGTCGACAAATTCGGCTGTGATATCCACGAAATGTTCGAATTGCGAAAATCTCTCGAAAGTTCCCGGTTTTCCAGACAGTGATCAAAGATCCTGATTGTTTCCGGTTTTCCAATCCTGTAGGCACACTCCATTTGCAACATTTTGACCTCGAGAATTACTTTCTCTGTCTTGCACATAAAATCACCTATCTCCACGGAGAAACTAAAGGCACATACGTTGTTTGTAAAATGAGTGAGAAATACTAGTTCCTCAATGCAATATGTAGTTTTATTCTAAATGGGTGATATCCTTTTCCTTCGCAGGGTAGTGTATAGTGCGAGTATTTTCGGTAAGTTAATAATTGCTACTGTGCTTTGCGATTGCCAAAATAATGTTCCCGGTATAAGCTGAATTTTTACTTATTCTTCTCCATTCTGATGTATGTTAAATTCTTACAAAATAAACAAAGCTTCTAGCGGGAGACCGTCCGAACCCCGCTCTACTCTAAAAAAAAAAAAAAAACTTCTCTCTTTTTCTTACTGTGAATCATCAGATTTTGTGCAACCCCTCCTCCCTCCAGGGTCTATTCGCTTTTAGATATTCCTTTATTGTCCTGATAATACGCAATCTTTATTCCCAAGCAAAATCTCCTCAGTTTTTTTTTTTTTTTTTTTTTTTTTTTTTTTNTTTCCCCCCCCCCCATGCCCCCTCCTCCTTTAGTAAGAGGGAGAATTTTATTATGTTCCAAATTGTATTCGCCCCTAAAATAATTCCCTTCCGTACTGCCGTGCTAAGGAAAAACGCCGTATGAACATTCGAGAGTTGCCAAACTTTTTCTTCGAAAATATTTATTTTTGAAGAAATTCGTGAATATTTGTTCTTGAAATTTTCAGACTTTCTAGA